TAATATTACAGATTACAGGTTGTAATTTATTATGCTTTTAAAAATAGTTTCAAAACTCAATACTTATATATTACATTTTATGTAATTTAATTTCATTTTGATTAATCACAATCAAGTCTATATAAATATACTCAATGTTTATGGTATAACATCATAAAAACTGTTTTATTTATAATGTTTATTTTATAATGATAAAACAGTTATTTTAATAAAAGTACAAGTACAAAATATTATGTTTCCATTTTTTGTATAAATATTATGCTGATTATAATAATTTTACAACTTTTCTTAAAAGCTTTATAAGCATACATTCATAAATATACTTAATGACTAAGTATGATAGACATTTAATATACCTATATGAATATTATGACTAAAATCAATACAAATTCGTATTTAATTTGTATAGAATTCTATTACTCTAAACTAAAAAAAATATAGACATATAGATGACATAGAATTGTTGTTTTCACATTGCACATACGTTTGATGTTAGTTCATATTGCGGAATGCTGGCATGTCAATAAAAGAAAACGTAATGTCTGACAGCCTTGTATGTATCACATACAGTGGTAATAAAAGTTCAATTTGCACTCTCACATGCATCAATCCAATCATTATATACATCTAGTGGCTCAGAAAGTAAATTTATTGTAGTTTGAAAATCTTCTAAGCATACTCTACAAGTAATTCTTGCTGTATTTCTTGGTTTATCCCTGAAAATGAAGATTAAACAATAAAATTTGTTACGGCTTATATTTACATTTAATAAGTATACGTACATCTTAACCTCGCATGATTTTTCATGATTGCAAAATGGACAATTAAATTGGGTATCTAAAGGTTGAATAGCTTTTTTTTTACTTGGAGGCTTTCGTTTACTTTTTCTTCGTCCCATTGTACCTTAGGTATGTCAAATTACGCGATTTTTTATTAAAAAGTTATCATTTAAAACATACAACCCATATCAAGCTTTAGTACTATTTATGTTGTGAACTGTTCCGTACAATCATTGGATACAAGTAGTGGAGTTCGCAAAAAATTACTAGCAGTGTTTATAGATATTCAGGCACACATTGTTTACAAATGGAACACTAAACTAATTCAAAAGTTATAATTGTTTGTTTTTGAAAATTACTCGAAGTTTTAAACTTAATCGTTCTATTCATACAATCTAAGTAATAAACTGAATATATAAGTTGTGCAAGTTTGGTTATGTAAATACAATTGAAACACACGTGTGAACAACAACACAATATTTATAAATTCAGAATCAAACATATTTATTTTTATAATTATGATACCATGAGTACGGTAAATGTGTATCCTTTGACAAAAACAATTCTTGATATCATATTTATTTCTCAAAAATATACAAATAACCTTATATATTGAATAGAAATTTGTCTATACCCTTCCCATCACTAAGGGAAGCAGAAATTGCTTATCAAGTACTTAGAGTTGATAAGGAACCTTCAAGGGGTAGTGTTTCAAAAGAACTTACATTAGATAATAATTTATTACAACTGTAAGTCTATAGATATTAAATTGTTATTATTCAATTGCTGTGGTATATTTATGACATTAATGTATATCATTTTTTGTAGAGTAATTTCAGGAACAGAAGCAAGGAAAGTTCGAGTGGCATTGACATCATTTTTTGATAATTTAATTTTAGTAACAGAAACTATTCAACGATTCGGCCCACCTATGCCAACTTTTGATTATTATTAAATAAATGTTCTATAGCATTTTTTAACTGTTATATGTAATATTATA